GTGCAGTGGGCTGGCACAGCAGCACAACCTGGGATTGTAGGAACTCAGAGTATTGCACAGTTTCCAGCTCTTGGCAAAACTGCCTTGCAGATGTTTCCAGTGTCACTGCAGCAGCCTGCTGTCCATCCACCTGGCCCTAACATGAACAAAACATAGCTTTGTCGCCTTTTGATAGAGGAGGATGATTTCAAAATTGGAATGCTGAGTGTTTGAGCCTATAGATGCCACATGTGTTTGAAGAGGTATGGTTCTACTGCTGGCACCCAGTACAGGCCTAATAGCATACACAGCCATACACTGCATCAAGCAATCACTGTGAAATGTTTTCACGAAAGATAGGTGGTTTGTTATGGCAATATTTGCTTAAATTTCATTGCTAAAGACACTTTATTCTCTTGTGTTCCGGTGTTCCACACTTGCAATCTTTAAAGTTAATGTACTTGAAGGTTACAAAATTGTATTAACCCTTGCAGGAGTACAGTGCCTTGAATTTAAGCTTTTCAGCCCCCGCTGGAAAGAAATGTAAAAATATTTGAAAGGTGTATTTTATTTACAATCGGCTTCTGAGTTTAAATTTTGTTTCAATTTGCAAATATACTGAAGGTTTACAGTTGAAGCTCTTGATTAGTTTCATTCCATTTTCTACTGTAAATGCTTTTATTATAAGTAGTGGATTGAATTTAAATTTGTAAGTTTGCAAGGTGAGATTTGTTTGAGAAACTGATCTAAATATATTTGCATTTCTACAATGAGTAGTGAAAGATGCATTTTAAAATAGAAGCATTTACAGGATCAGCGGAAGTACATTGTATATAAGTACAGGGAATACCTTTTGGGCAGTGCAATTCATTCCGTTATGCAGTCGTTGGTAAATTTGTTGCAGACGACAACTTATTTTTGTTACAGGGAGCAGGCAGGCAAATACTGCTTTCTTTTAGTTCAGCAGCAAATTGATTATATTTTATTCCCCCCCCCCCCCCCAAACGGGCTTGTGTAATTCAATTCAATTATGAATCGATGCATGTTTCATAGCTGAACAATCTAACTGAAATCTTGATTATAGGACAACCCATCTCCCGGTTACTATAAGAACTATGTAAGTATAGTACTTGCATGTACTCTCCCTTTAATTCGACCAGCAGTATTGGTTAAGAATGGTATTTTTTGTCACTGAAGTGCTAATAGTACTCCCCCTGACATGGAACTAAGTGCGAAGCTCTTTTTTATTTTTTTCTTATGGGAGCAATGAATCCTTCGGTTTTGGTGTTTGATTGCGGTTTGATTTTTTTTTTCAATTTTAATTAAGTTTGCACTGTAGGTGCAAGGACACCCCTTTCCTTTCTGACAGTTGCTTTTTATCCATTTTACTGTGCATAGAATCTGCATCTTCACCTTTCAGTCAAAAGGCACACGGTAACCCACTAAAACTGACTTTTGTGGATGGTAAGTTTCATTTTAATAGAATGCACTAAGGGAAATCATTATGGGCACCGGTAACAAAGCATTACATGGTCAAACTTGAAGGCACACTGCTCTAGATTTCTTTACTGCAATGACATTTTATTCTACCTGCTGAAGGGTGGAGATGTCTTGTGCTGCCAAGCTGTGAATTGTATAGTTCTGTTGTACTTTGAACATTATAACTGTCTACATTATTTGATTGGTACCCTTTAAATATATTATTCCATCAATTCAGTTAGAATTGAATTTTATAGACAATTATGCAGAGTCTTCTGCCTGGGCAAAATACTTACTGTAGTAAGAGATTTCTGTTCTCTGTAACATGTATCCTTAATTTATTTCTTTAGATTCATGTCTGTATGCTTCCTGAGCAAATATGGAAAATATGTTCTCACATCATTTCTCCTTCAGCTTGCACTGGATCTTACAGTTTGTTGCTATTGCCTGATGTATAGTCCACCCCTTGTATACTGACAAAGTCAGTGGCACTAAAAACCCCAAGAGATTGTATATATTACAAAAAATAAACATTTTGTGCTTGAAAACTGCGTGAAAACTTAGTGTTTTCCTGAAACCTTGAAACGTGTTGTTCTCTATTGGCACTAGACAACTCTCCTCCACCTGCCCGCCCAAGCCATCTCTCCTTTTCTTGCTTTTAAGAGGCTAATGCCGCCTTTCCCAATTTTGGCAGCTGCCTGTAACTGCCACTGTCCCAGGGCATGCAGCCGTCAGCACAGCATATGCCTCTTCAGTTGTGTTCCTTGCATCTCTTGCCTCAGTTTTTCTGATGCTACATTGAATCTCGACTGGGATTCAAACCCAACTGGAAATTCCAATGCGTATCTTGAGTGAATTGTAGCATCAGCAACACTACATAGAGCCATTAAGCCACCAGAGCTAGACCAGTGATGGGAAGAGACACTTGAATTTGAGTGACTCTCCTTTGATGAAGTACCAAGACTCCCCTTGTAACTCAACCTATTAGAATTTAAATGTGACAATCACATGGAGATCAGCCCTGAAGTAGTAGATGGAACTCCTTGCCAGAGGAGGCTGTGAAGGCTAGGACTATAACAGAGTTTAAAGAGAAGCTAGATAATTTCATGGAGGTTAGGTCCATAAAAGGCTATTAGCCAGGGGATAGAAATGGTGACCCTGGCCTCTGTTTGTCAGAGGCTGGGAAAGGATGACAGGAGACAAATCGCTTGATCATTGTCTTCGGTCCACCCTCTCTGGGGCACCTGGTGCTGGCCACTGTCGGCAGACAGGCTACTGGGCTAGATGGATCTTTGGTGTGACCCAGTACGGCCATTCTTATGTTCTTATGTGTGCACCATACACGCTCGTGCAAGACTTTCACTCAGACTACATTGCAGAGACGACAGAAGGAGAGTAACTGTAGTTCAGACATTTGATGCACCTATTTCCATTTTTCAGCTTCCTGGTGTACATGAGGTGGGCAGCCATTAGATCCAAGACTCTCCTGAATTCAGCTTTTCTTAAAGTTCTAAAATGAGTAGTTGCTGTGTAACCCATGCACCTTTAACCCACGCACCTTCTGGGTGTGGTGCCCTGTCCTCGCTAGTGGCACTGAGATCATTCACAGAGAGAATGAGTCCATTATACAGCCTTAGGTACCAGCCTGATGGACTAAACTCCAAAGGTCCCAGGTTCAATTCTGCCTGCAGACGACCAGGATCTGTCAGCGTTGTAACTGCATTAATACAGGTATACAGTCATCTATTGCATGTCCAAGAAGAGTCAATAATAGTGTTTACACAAATAGTACTGGCCCAGATAACTTAATGTTGCCATCAGAAGTAAATGTTGAGTGAGAGGCATATATAGTAGTACTATTCCTGAACATTCTCTGTACAATGGTGCTTTTAAAATGATTTGTGATGTACAAACTAGAGAGAGGGGTGGAGAGTAGTGGAGATAGAAGTTAACAGTTTACTGAAAATATCTTTTTATAGCTATTCCCTTTTAAATCTTTTTTTAATATCCAAATCGTCACTAGGGTGGAAATCTCTCACGCTACTAACTTAGGGCTAAATTCTGCTGCTGCTCCTCATGGCGAGTAATGCCTTGTCCTGATTCTTTCCAGTGAAATCAGTGATCCTTCTTGTCAAGCCAGGCACTCCTGATTGTCAGCAAGGGGATCCAAGTCTGGCCCATATTAGTGTGTTCACAGCTTTTAGAGGATGTAAGGACTTCCAAAAAAAATCCTCTGTGTGCACCAACCGCTGAATTATACTCTTTGTACATGTGACTTGCAGTTACAGGTTGAACCTCTCTAGTCTGGCACACTCTGGTCCAGCAACATCCATAGTCAGGCATGATTTTAGTTAGACACATGTCCACTTACCATGGGTGTGGCCAAGTTTTCTGTGGTCCCATAAAGTTTGTTTATGCCCTTCAGTCCCCGCTCTCAGTGTTCTGTGCTGTTATTTACCTATTTTACCCCTAAATCTCTTCTAAGAGCCCAGTAAGCAGTGGAAGTGTTGATAATGTTGCAAGACAAAATGGTGACCTTCCAGGGTTTGGAAAATTTTGGGGTTCGGTACCATTCAGGTCCCTATGATGCCAGACTAGAGAGGTTCAACCTGTACTCAAAGTTGTTATTTGTCTCTGTTAGACAATGCTCTCCCAACATTTCAATATAAATAGTGGGAGGAATCAAGACATGAGGCCTATATTCTCTTAAATGTTTCTAGCTAGCTGCATGTGTTCATGTTAAGTCTTTGGAAAGGAAACTGTGTGTATCTGTATCTATCTATATTGTAACTGTCATTATCTGCTGCCTATCATTAGTTACCTGGCATTTTCCATTATAAAACCCTGATATCAGCTGATTATAATTTTGCCAAACTTAAATTGATCAGGCTGAAATTTTCCATACTGTGTGTTCGCCTAAGACTGAACTTTCTACAGCGTTGCAGATAAAGCAGCTCAGCTCACCAGAGAATAAGGTTAGGAGGGGAATATTTCCCTCATGTTGAGGTAAGGGAGGATCCTTTCAATGCTTTGAGAAACTCCAGTGTCTCCCTCCTTTTGAGCAGAGACTCTGCATTTTGCGGGGCGCTTGCTCCTGAGGTCAGGAATGTGCCATTTGTCATTCCTATGAAAATCTGCCCAGATTTTAAACCTGAAAAATCCGCTTGCACGTGCTCCATAGAGATGTGTTGGAATTTAGCAGCTAAATTCTTGTAAGATGGCGTCTGCATTGACAATGCTCCAGCCTTGCACAGCTCCTCTCTGAAGATTAGACTCTGCATGTGTCATCCCTGGAAAGTGACAGAGCATGCTCCATCCAGGGCACTAGGGGCTGAGCAAGACTTTCCCTGCATTGTGGTGCTAGGCACCTGACGGAGAGTGGGGAGATGTTCTCCCATTAGTACTCCTGCCTGCCAGGGCTCAGACAGCAAGGAGAAAGGGGAAGCCAACTGACCCCAATGCAGAAGGGTGAGAAGCAAGGGAGTGAGGACAGGAACTTGGAAGTTCAGGCTGGAGCAGAGTGGACAAAAGATGGGGTGGAGAGAGGCAGGATTAGGTGAGTGTAGGAGGGAGGGGGCCAGGAGTCCTTGGCAGGCCCAGGGCTGTA